CCAGAACTTGCAGCTCAGGTACAGGTGCTGCTTCTTATGTACCCCAGTAGCAGAACTTTTATTCTAATTTGTCTGCCTTCCTCATCTGTAAGTACAGAACTAATCACCCAAAAGGCCTGGTGGTAAAACAACAAACATTATCACATGATTTCTGTGAGTCCCAGTTTAAATGTTGCTGAGCCAGGGGTCTCTGACCTCAGGTCAATTGAGGTGTTCGTTGGCTTGGGGACTGAGATATAGCTCTTGGCTAGAGTTCTTTTTTTTCCCCCCCCGATTGTGGAACTTGAACTCTGGGCCTGGGCACTGTCCCTGTGCTCTTCAGCTCTAGGCGTGCACTCTACCACCTGAGCCACAGTGCCAATTCCGGTTTTCTGGTGGTTAATTGGAGATAAGAGTCTCATGGACTTTCCTACCCCGGCTGGCTTTGAACCACAATCCTTAGATCTCAGCTTCCTGAGTAGCTAAGATTGCAGGTATGAACCACTAGTGCCCAGCATTGGGCTAGAGTTCTTGCCTAGCCAAGCATGAGGCTCTGAGTTCAAAACCCAGTACTGCCAAAAAAAAACCCAACCCCAAAACCCTCAAAACATGAGAAAGTACAAACTTGGCACTTTTCATTAATACTGTTGTATAGATATTTGTGTGTGTGTGTGAGAGAGAGAGAGAGAGAGAGAGTGAGAGAGTGAGCTGGTCCAAGGGTTTGAATTCAGAGCCTGGGCACTGTCCCTGCTCTTTTTTGTTCAAGGCTAGCACTCTACCACTTGAGCTACTTCCTGCCCCAGCTGGTTTTGAATCAGGATCCTCAGATCTCAGCCTCCTGCATAGCTAGGATTACAGGTATGAAATACCAGTGCCCAGTCTAGATAGAGATTGATACCTCCCCCGCCCCCAATCCCTCCCAGGCATTGCAAATAACAAATACTCTGAGAGTGTAAATCTTACTTACCTTTGGGTTTCTTATACTATGTTTTTCAGGACATGAGAACTTGATACCAGCTGAATAGTTGACTTGACTTTTTAACTTTTCCGTTCTGTCTCGGGATTGAGGGAGATGTTAGCATGGAACAACTTCTTAATTAGGATCGTGCATGAATGTTGTAATAAACACACTTGAGTCTTCAACTATGGAATGTAAGTTTAGAAATCAAGTGTGTTCCCGGCGACCTGGCATCCTTGCTTATAATGGCTCTGTCTCTGTTGCTTGTCAGGAGCTGTTGGCATTAGTTAAAATTAGCTGTACAGGCTGCCATAGATTAGGGGCAAGTGTGGTAAAGGAGGACTTACTCTTAGCAAAACGAAACAAATTCATCTTTGAAAATATAAATTCATCCATTGCCCCCATTTAAAGCAGTAGGTACTTGGTTAGTTGATAATAAAAATGCACATTTTTTGTGGTGGTCCAAGGGTTTGAACTCAGGGCCTGGGCACTGTCCCTGAGCTTATTTTGCTCAAGGCTAGCATTCTACCATTTGAGCCATAGCTCTACTTTTGGCTTTTTTTTTTTTTTTTGGTGATAATTGGAGTTATCTCAAATTAGATTCTGACTTTCCTTGCTGAGCTGGCTTCGAACTGAGATCCTCAGAGCTCAGCCTCCTGAGTAGCTAGGATTCTAGATGTGAGCCACCAATGCCTGGCAAAATGCACTTTTTTTTTTTTTTTTTGTCAATCATGGGGGCTGAACTCTGGGCCTGGGTGCTGTCTCTCAGCTCTTCAGCTCAAGGCTAGAGCCCTACCACATAAGCGACAGCGCCACTTCCGGCTTTTTTCTGCTTATGTGGTGCTGAGGAATGGAACCTAGGGCCTCATGCATGCAAGGCAAGCACTCTACCACTGAGCCACCTTCCCAGCCCACAAAATGCACTTTTAAAATGAGTCTTTTCTAACTAACAGATCCTTTGACCCCTAGTGATCCTTTGAAAGTGGTTTTCCAGTGTTTTGGGGGCATCTTGGGAAACATTTCAGGAACAAGCTAGAAATATTCTGAAAAGCTCAGTACTGGTGACTAAAATGCAATTCTAGCTACTTAGGAGGCTAAGACCTGAGGATCATGGTTCAAAGCTAGCCAGGGAAGAAAAGTCCTTGCGATTCTAATATCCAGTTAACCAGAAGTGGAGGTATGGCTTAAGAGACAGTGCCTGTGCCCTAAGTTAAATCCCCAGTATCAGCAAAAAAAAAAAAAAACAAACAGTAAATAAAATAATTAAAATAAATAAAATAATTTAAAAATTTAACATTCTTTCAACATTCTGCACTTGTCCAGACTTCCAGCTTCTGTGTGGTCAGCCCACTGCATGTAGATTGTTCATTGTCTTTGTCTTTTCCTTTGTGACCTCCAGGAAGGTAGAGCTGGGCAGAGATTTTTCCGATCTTGTGTGCCTGACTTAGATTGGATCTTAAATGCCTGTGTTGTGCACTGAGTCATGATGGATTGGAATCGACTCCAACTCTGTGTAGTTCTCAGCTCCTATAAGGGGCCGGTCCAAAGATACACCTGGTTTTTGCCTTAATTCAGAAAGCAGGAATTCCCACTTCTTCAGTGTTTGTTGTCTTTGATGTCTGGTATTTTCATCTTGGATACAAAGTCTTAAAACCTTCTTCCAATTTTTTTTCTTCTCTTGTAAGCAGCTACTTCCTAATGGCTCCCTCCCTCCTTTCCTTCCTTCCTTCCTTCCTTCCTTCCTTCCTTCTTTCCTTCCTTCCTTTGTTCCTATACTGAGGTTTGAACTTAGGGTCTCACACTTACTAAGCAGGTGTTCTAATACTTGAGCCATGCCTCCAGCCTTTTATGCTTTCGTTATTTTTCAGGGAGAGAACACCTAATTTTTTGTGCCAGTCCTGGGGCTTGAACTCAGGGCCTAGACACTGTCCTTAAGCTTTTTGCTCAAGGCTAACACTGTACAACTTGAGCCATAGCTCCACTTCTGGCTTTTTGGTGATTGATTGGACATAAGAGTCTCACAGACTTCCCTGCTTGGGCTGGTATCAAACCTTGATGCTCATATTTTAGCCTCCTGAGTAGTTAGGATTACAGGTACGAGCCACTGGTGTGCCCAGCAGGATCTCACACTTTTATGGCTGACCTCAGATAGCTATCCTCCCACCTCTGCCTCCTGCATAGTTGGGATATCAGGTGTGCCTCACCATACCTGACATTAATTGTGGTTTGAAAGGAAAGGCTTTTGAAGGGCAATTCTGATTTCAGAACAAGGACACTCTCATGCTAGAATTTATTTAATAGGGTAGCCAATCTGGAAAGACTTTTGCGGTACTTTCTGGAAATCCCCATACCCTTAGCCTTCCAGGTAAGGCAGGCCCGCCTGGGTGTTTGCAGGACCAGGTCTGAGCACCTCCCCTTGCTAGCCAAGCTTTGCCTTCTGCAGTCCTGTGTGTGGTAAGCTCCAGGTCAGCCTCAGTCATGATATGCAGAGCTCTGCAGGGCACCTCGTCATCAGTTCAGCAGGCTGCACGTAAATCATGCCTGCTCCGGCCTTTGGACACTAATGTTCCCTTATTAAGGCATAAGTAAGCCTTCCTGTTCTCATCCATTCTTTCAGCCATGCCTTTTTTTTTTTAATGACTGCATAATATGGCCTGTTTGTGGCTCCACCAGCCACCTCCTGCTCCCCCCCCCCCCACTCCACCCCCCCTCGATCTTAGGGGTATGTCTCAGCCCGACATGATTTTTGCAGGACTCTAACTTCCGCTTTGTTCCCACATTGTAGCCTCCTCCAATCCTTCCCCTTCCCCCCCCCCCCCCCCCCTGGAAACACTCCTCCCCCCCCCCCCCCCCCCCCCCCCACTCCACCCTGGCCCTTGCCCTCCTTACTTTCTTTTGAGATTCAGTTTATTTTTCTGGAACTTATCAAATTCCCTAAGGAAGCTGGGTACCTTATGAATGGATTGAGGGAAAGGAAATTCTTATCTGGAAAAGGAAGCAGTTACTGTGTTTCTGCCTGTGATATCCTGGCCAGTTAATGATTTTGTGCATACATTCTGGTGGCAGTGTTGGTACTTCAGAGGGAGAGAGGGGAAAGCACGGCTCAGTCCAGAGAAGGAAATCATCTTCCGCTAGAGCCAGGGCAGGGGAGAAATATCACTTTGTGACTGTCATTCTGCCTAAATAAACAGAAGCCTCATTGTTTATAATCCTGTAAAGGAGTGGAATTCAGCCCAGCCTGTGGGCACATTTTTCATATTTCCCCACTTTCTGCTCAAGCCCAAGATCTTTGCTCTAATCCTTTGCACGTTTCTGCTCCCAGGGACTCTGTCTCTATTCTTGGGACTCTGTCAGATTTCCTTTTGCTCTGAGATGCTGAAGAGCGAGGAAACATCCTCTTATTTCTCACAGTTTGGCATGAAAGAAGAAAGGGAGATTTTTTTCATTGTGTTTTTTTAGACCAGGCCCATAAAAATACCTCCATGTACTCTTTCTTAGAGATGTTTTAGGGATATAAATTCTTGTCTAAATAATTACTGTTGAGTGTAGAAAGGACTCTGGAGTTTAGACATTGTAACAACAACTTTATTATTCTCTCTTAGCAACCACAGGAAAATGATATAGCTCCTTTTTGTTGTGGTTGTTCTTGTTTTTCTGTTGTTGTTTTTTATTTACAAATAGGCCGACACTATAATGCACCATATTACCTTTTAGGTATCTTTTTTTCATTATGTACAAATTATAGTGGAACTGAGGCACTCTGATGTATTATTTTCTTCTGGTGGCGGGGGGCGGGGGGGAGAGGGGGGGGAGAGACAGACATGCTTTTGGTGACATTTAGACATCACAGAATGGCTAGTAATGTCATTCTAACAGGATGACAAAGTGGCCTGGGTGCTGGGCGTGGTCCTCTGTGCTCAGACCTGTGTTAAATGATCAGCTGCGTTTGATAACAGACGGAGGGCTTTCTTAAGGCAAAGTGGGCATCTTTGGAACTTTGGTGCTTAACAGACAAAATCTCTGCAAAAGAAAGTCAGCTAGCTTCTCTTTTTGTTGTGGACAGCTGCCGAAATGGGTTGTGGCTTGAACAAGCTGGAGAAACGCGACGAGAAGCGGCCTGGGAATATTTATTCAACTCTGAAGAGGCCTCAGGTAGAAACCAAGGTGGACGTGTCCTATGAATACTGTTTCCTAGAGTTCACGACCCTGAGTGCAGGTGAGTCTTCCCAGCCCTGGCTTTCCTGGTAGCTGAGAGGGCTGAGACCCCGAAGGGTGTCTGGTGGGGACCTGGGGGCCTGTGAAGGGGACAGTTTCCACGATCCAGACTTTTCTTGGTAGCCTTGCATGTAACAGTGAACAGCTACATTACAGTGAAAATGGTAGAGCCAGGAAGGTGCCAAGCAGTGCCATGGGCATACTTCATATGATCCTGGGCCCAGCCGGTTTTAGAGTTGGTTTGGTAGTGTGCCCCATGGAAGATGTTTACCCTCTGTTCTCCTGTGACTCTGTCCTGTGCTCATGTTTCTGTCCCCCTGGATTGGACTCTGCCTTTCCCAAAGCAGAAGGAGTAAGAATCTCCTCCCATGGCCAGTATCCAAGGTCACTGAGTGACCGTCAATGTCATTTTAGAGCGTGTGCTGATCACCTACTATGTGCAGGTAGCCTGGGCTGGGAGTGGTTGGGAGCCATGTCCTAGTTTCCTGGAGCTGGTGGAGAGAGAAGACCCAAACCTGTAACAGAAGAGCAAGACAGGTTAGAATTGTAGGTTGGCAAGTGTGGAAATTGAGTATTTGGAAGAAGAAAAAGATACTTTGGCATTTTGGATCCCAGAAAGATAAGAGCACAACTGGGCATTTGTCACTCAAGACACCTCCTCCGTGGGCCTCTGGGTGGGTGTGAGCTTCTCTGAACACGAGGAAGGATGAGTGAGAAAAATCTTTCTGTTTGGGGCTTGATCCTGGCTCTGCTCTGCAGTCAATGGCAAATCCCTAAGCCTGTAAAAGGGGCATGTAGTGTTCTGTCAAGGGCTGCCATGAAGAAGAGAAGAGAGAATGCCTGAAGTATTGCTCCTCCTTCCTCCTTCCCCTCCCTCCCCACCCCTTCCCCTCCTCTTTTCTTCCTGATCCTCCTTCGGCTTCTCTTTCTTTTCGTCCTCCTGTTCTTTTCTTTTCCTTTTCCATTTCTTCCTCTTCTCTCCTTGTCCCCCTCTTCTTCCTCTTCCTCCTTTCTACTGTAATCTAAGCTGATGCTGCACTACTTCTTGAGCCCTGGGAAAGATGGATGGCTGGGCGTCAGCAGGGACATCTGTGTCCTCAAGTCTCCAGCACCAAACCCAATTGTCTTTTATGCTAATATCAACACCATTCTTTGACACAGGGGGGCCTGATACCTCAGTGCCTGTTACCATTCCAGTCCCCAGCCTCTTCAGATCCCTTCACCACGCTAATGGAACTCAGTGATTGGGAGCATCTCTTTATTTGTTCAGTGGCTATTTGGGCACCTGCAATGTGCAGTGCGTTGAAGGATAATTAAGGAAAAACGAAGGCACCTTTAGCTTTTCCTAAATGTGCTAGAGGCAAATAGATGTTCAACACTGATTGTTAAAGGGCTGAGATTTCTCTCTTTTATTTTACGTATTTATTATTAATTGGTAGCACTGGAGTTTGACTCAGTGTGAATTAAGACCCTCACATTCCCTTGCTTGGCTGGCACTCTGCTACTGGAGCCATGCCTGCACACGAGTTTTTTGTTAGTTTATTGGAGATAGAGTCAGACTTTTCTTCCCACTCTACCTTTGAACCTGGATTCTCCATATTTCTGAGTACGTGGGATTACGGGCATGAGATACTGGTGCTTGTTGTCTTTTGTAGATTTTTTTTAACATCTGTTTCTTTTATTAAGAGTGATATTGGGCTGGGAAGGTGGCTCAGTGGTAGAGTGCTTGTCTTGCATGCATGAGGTCCTGGGTTCAATTCCTCAGTACCATATAAGCAGAAAAAGCCGGAAGTGGCACTATGGATCAAGTGGTAGAGGGCTAACCTTGAGCTGAAGAGCTGAGGGACAGTGCCCAGGCCCAGAGTTCAGGCCCCCCTCCCGACAAAAAAAAAGTGATATTGCTTACACTAAAGATCCACAAATACTTGTTGCTCTTTGCCTCTGCTGCTTTGAGGTTCATTCTCTGGATTATTTCCCTGACCTTTCTTGTTGCTGTTTCCCAGGACCCCAGCTGCAGCCTTTATCCTGCTTCCTGAATTGTGCTTTCTTTGATGACATTAACTTTTGTGATTTGATCATAAGATGACTACATGCCCATTATAAAGTGTCAAAACTACACTGGCTTCCCTCCCTCTTCAAAGTACCCTGTCGGTCCTCTGCTCAGTCTTCCTCTGCCTTCCACTACCCTCATTCCTTCTTCTGCCTTGGGCTTTTGCCCTGCCTGGTAGTTATCCCCAGGAATCTCTGCCTTTTTGTTTTGTTTTGAGACCATCTCCATACTGAGATAAGGCTGGCCTCAGATGCTTTTTCCCCTCTGCTTCAGCCCTTTAAGTGCTGAGATTACAGGCAAATGCTACATACCCAGCCTGCCTTATTTTCTCAACTCCCTTCCCCCGACCTTTTCTCTGAAACTCTCCATGACTATCTGTTTGAAACTTCTGCCCCCTTCCAAGCTCCTACTTCCTTCCCTCTGATTTCCCCAGCCATGCTTCTAAAGTGCTTAGTGCCTCTTGTTTGCCATCTTCCTTCCTTCATGAGAAGGTAGAACTCCTTGGCACACTGGCAGGGATTGTGTTTGTCTCCTCATTCTCAGGACAGTGCCAAGCACTTCCTGGATAATCACTGGATGTTTGCTGAATGAATATTCAACATAAATTTTTGCATCCTGCTTTTTTTTTTTGCAACTTAGCATTGTATAGCAAGTATGCACTGTCATCCATATGCACTGAGAGAATGATTTAAGGTCTTTACATGATTTAATCACTCAGTGTACTATAATTTATTTAGCAGTCCCCTTTTATTGGACACTGAAGTTATTTTGGGCTCCAGGCTATTATAAATAATGTTGTGATAAGCGATGTTGTACATAAATCTTTGTGTACATTTCTGATTATTTCCTCAGGAATTGCCAAGTTGAAGGATATGAACGTCAAGACTGTTGATAAATTGCCAAGTTGCCCTCTAGATAGGACATGTTTGTGGAAAGCACACATCTATCTCTTCATGCTCAGCTCTTCTAAGAGTTCCTCTGGACAAATGAAGTTGAGGTTCAAGTTCAAGATGAAGCTCAGAGGCTTATGGCTTGGCCTTGGTCTTCCTTGGAGGACAGTGTCTATGGCAAAATTGGTTCTTGCTCACTCAGGGTATTCCTTTCTGAGCTTCCCGCAGTGCTCAGACCCCTACACCTTACTGCTTGCCAGGGTCCTGCCCACCTGAAACTATTCCTCATGGACACGAATCCCAAGGATCAGTGCTTGCACACCTGTAGAATACTTTTACTATAGCATAGACTCATCCTTTTTGTGTTTCCTCATTGAAGGTCAGGCCTTGTTTTCCTTTCCTTTCATTCTCCATTCTTTTTAGTGGGGTCCTGGTAAACCTAGACATTTCTATGAGACAGGTAGATACTTCAAGCTGTGATGGTGAGTTCTTTCCTATTCTTGGGGAGGAACAGACACCTGTTGAGTGCCCACTGCATGCTAAGTCTTGTGGTAGACATGCCATTCCTGATCTCATTTCATTCCTGATTTCTTCAGCTTGATGGCCATCTACTGCATTGAATGCATGTAAAGTTTTCAAACCTATAGCTCTGTCACCATGTCAAGGAGCAGAATGCTACACCCCCGTCCCTGGCACACTTCTCCAACACTGCCTGCCCTCCAGACAACCACCAATCAGCTTTCGCTGAGTGCTGAATTGCTCTTCTGCCACCATTTTTATTTTTTCGAATATTACCTAAATAGAATCACTCAATGGTATCTATGCTTTCTAGTCTGGCTTTTTCACCTGCATGGCTGACTTGCTAAGGAGCTTTGTTTTCTGTCATCTGTGCTTATTCCTCCAGCACTGAGAGTAGGACTCCAGGGCTTGCTTTTCTACTCAACTGTGGATAGACATTAGGCTTTTCCACTCTCTGGTTGTGGTAAAGCTGCTTTGCACGATCATCTTTGCGTGGTTTCTGATGCCATTTTACCCTTGCAAGACGTAGTGAGGATCTGAGTATGCGCAGTCCAATACTGAGCGATGGGTGAACTCAAACTTACATCCCATGGGTATCAGTACAGTTCCAAACTACAAGACTCTAGGGCAGCATCTATGCCAGTTACCACAAGTTAGAAACTTGTGTTGTCATGCCAAAGGGGATAAGAGTGTTCCTCTTTCATATAGTCGGGCATAATGTTTCATAGGAGATTGTGACTTTGAACTCAGGCTTGCTCAGCCTACTAGGGTAGGTTCTCTACCACTTGAGCCATGTCTCTAGTCCTTTTCTTGCTTTTTTAGGTGGGATCTTGCATTTGTGACTGGGGTCAGTCTCAGTCTGTGATCCTCCTGTTTATACCCTGGCTGAGATTATAGGTGTAAGTCACAATGCTAGGTCTCATGGGAGATTTTTTTTTTAAGTGGCACTTGATATGCTTATTTTACATAGGGAAGATGTGACACACATACACATGTACTGGCTTTATATGTACATATATGTGTGTATATAGATTATATAAAATACATAATTTTCTTTAAGTAGTTATGTGAGTTTCAGTTCAACCTGTGAGTTGATGAATACAATACATCTTGACCAGTGTCACCCCATTTGACTCCTAAGCAAATACAAATTGTTCACTTATATCCTAGTGGCATAGGCAGGAAGCAAAACTCGGGATCAGAGTTAATACAACTTTCATTTGTCCCTTGCTTAACGCTTAGGGCTGTGTACATGAGAGTGAAGTCTCTCTTGTAAGACTGGCAGAGTAAAAAATCAGCAGGAAGTTCATAGTCTAGCTCTTAAGCTGCCAAGAATGGCAGTTTGGGGTGATTTGATTGGACCTTAAATATACAATTAAGTCTGGTCACCGAGGGATGAACCTGCCCAGAAAGAGGTTTTGTCGCAGGCAGAGGCCTATAAAACATCACAATTTCTGCACACCAGTGCCTCACGCTCCCTTTTATGTATAGATAGTTGCCAGTTTCTTGGTGTCAGGCCACTTCAAAATCATGTGAAAGCTG